GAGCAAATGACATTGCAGGTAGGCAGTGTCTCTGGGTGCAGTGGTGGGGCAAATATGCCCTTAGGGCTGCTTTGTGAAAGCTGCCTTCATGGGGAGACTATTGCTAAGTGAATCAGATTGTTTCCTTGGCTGTGTGTGTTCCTAGGAGGCAGCAATTTGGGTGACATAGTGATGGGACTCTCACAGATGAACCCAGTTGGGTTTATGGGCCTCTTCTGCCTTCATTTCGTTTCTGATGCTTGCAGTATCCCCCTCTCTGGGCTGTTCTCCCAGGGTTTTTTTGCAAGCTTTACCTTTCAGCCTCCACCTCCAGAGCTCTATCTGTCTTTCCCTTGTCAGCAGTAAGCCTGTGCTAATCACTCTTTCCTAGGAAGGCATTTCAGAATATTTAATGGTTTCTAGAATAAGGATTTCTGGGAAGATTGGGCTCAGTATGCCAAGTCAGGAGATACCCAATGTTAGCATAGTTACCAGGGTACCTTGCTGATCTGGAAGGTTCCAGCACTTTTTTTGGGTTCCCAAACCCACTTCAGTAGGAGCAGGGGCTGTCATGAGGAGAAGGAAGCTTTTCCAATTCCTTGTTCATAGCACATCCAAGAGGAAGGCTGTGTTTCTCTGGAGTGTTCTGATGCTCTGGAGGTTGGACAGACAGGCTGTGTGTGTTGGAGAGGAGTGGGTATGTTTCTCAAGCCATTAGGTATGTGGTTATAAAGACACCTGCCAAATTCCAGAGTGCACAGTATTGTAAACTTCAAGTATTACTGGATTTCAGCTGCAAAGTGTTAACAGGGCTCCTTAGAAAATCTGCATTGGATTCAGCTGTGGAGGTTACCAGCAACTGCACAGTTAGTGATGAATGTGTTTGCTAACTGTGCCATTAAGGAGTGAGCAATGGACAGATGGAGGAAGGAGATGCAGAGCTGCTTTGAACACACACTGTCCCAATAGATTCCATCTTGCACAGACAGCTCAGAACCAGAAGCTCTGGGGTGATGCTCTTTGACTTACATGAAAGAGGGGTCAGTGTAAGGAGTTGTACCACTTTTCTGAGCTTAGGAACCTTGGCATTCTGGTTTTTTTCTTCATGAACACTATGCAGTTTTCCCTTCAGCAAGTCCTAGTAAGAGATTGGTTTTTTTTTTTTCTTCTTCTTTGAAGCTGTTAACATTCAATTAACATTCCTAAACCCTCACTTGGTTACCGTGCACTTAAATGCACGTTGCACGCATCCTCCCCCACTATTCCCAGAGGATCAGGGATCCCTGCAGGTGTTCAGATCGAGATGTTGGCTGTCTCACTGTTGCCACTTTCCTGAGTGGGAAGTGACAGCTGAATAGCCTTCTGCAAGGACAGCACCAGTAGGGGCTGGAGGAGCTCCAGTGTTACTTTTCCCGAGGCACACTGGTGGGTGTTTCCCTCCCTTCCCTTTGCTGTGCACCCAGGGACCCCCTCCCCTGCTCTGCCAGAGCCTTCTCTCCAAGACCAACTCTCCTGTGCCAAACCTGAGGAGCTCAGTTACTGGGCTGTTGAAACCAGGACTAATTTTACAAACTGATTTTTACTAGAGAGGCTGTGTGGCCAGTAGCTATTGGGCTTATGAAGCACCTGCCCTGGCTGGGATTTTGTGTCCCTGTGGTTGGTGCTGGGCCTGGACTAGCAAAAGTCCTGGGAAAGGGGAGAAGCAGTGCTGAGAGCTGCTGTGCCATGGGAACCACACAAGGATCTGGCTATGGGGAGCTTTGGAAGACCCCTTAAACTGTCTGAAGGGTGAAACCTCCTCCTCTGCAAAAGCCTCCTTGAATTCTCCAGAGAATTCTCCGTGTTTCCTGCTTGTCAATAGGGTGATGAGCAGTGCTGGAAGGGGGTTGTTCTTTCTGCTGCTCCCCCATCACTGCCTGGTCAGCCCTGGCTCAATGGCACAAGGCTACCAGGGTTCAACACCAGCAGTTAAAGCCCTTGTGTTCTTCAGGAATGTCAGCCACCATCCGAGGACTGAGTCTGCTTCTCAATCCATCTCTGAGTGTAAAGTAGCCAAGGAACAAGAAAAACACCACACAGCATCTTCTATCCAGCTCCCCAGGAAAAACACAGTGCGTGAACCAAAGGAAAGGGGTAGAAAACAGTGCCAAGCTGCTTTCCAAGCTGTGTTGTCCTTCCCGAGTCTGCAAGTGCAGCCATAGCAAACCATCACACCCCAATTTGGGGACATTCTCAGCGTGAACAAACTGAGACGTGGCTGGCAAAATACTCACTTGGGCAAGTAGTGAAAACAGATTTTTTTCTCTTGGTGCAGCTATATAGAACAGGTTCTGATGCTTAAAATAACTCAAGCACATATTTGACTTTATTCAAGCAGCCCTGTTATCCTTGGCTAGCACCTTCCTTCAGCAGAACTACCCAAAGCAGAAAACGAGCCCTTCATCTCTCTGTAATATTGAAGGAAAACTGTATGAACAAAGTTTTGTGGAAATACAGTGGTTTAGAGCTCCTTGGCACAAACAGGTACAGCTTATACACACTTACATGGAAGGTGTAAGTGCTTCTGGCTTTTGTCACTGTTCCTGTCCCTCTGAATTGCCTTGTTGTTCCATTTTCAGGTACTCTTTTCTTTAGAAGCTCTGTTCCACCTTTGGTGCACGTTATGCCCCACCCGTGGTCTCACCAAATCTGATGTTCTAGAGGAGTCAGAACAGGCCCTGCAGAGCCAAGAGGCACCTGCTGCAAATCCAAAGCATCTTCACTGGTGTGGTATCCCTGGTCAAAGTCTGCTGGCAGTGCAAATTCTGCCAAAACAAACCATTTCTCAAAAAAAAGCAGCTTAATGGGAAAATGTTGATTTCAATGAAAACTTTTAACTGTAGTGAGGGGAGGGAAGAGGGAAGGCAGCAGTGGTTCTTTTTTTTTTGCTTTTGGCTAGTGTTTGAAATTGCCTTAGGAAAAAAAAAATCAATTAAATCCCATTGTATAATATGCAAGTTGAAGTGAAATGAAAGGGAAAAGTTGAAAGGAAATCTGTTAAGGAGCTGCTTATTGAAGGACTTCTGGATTTGCCTTGTAAGAAACATCAACATTTTAGCTGTCCTTGTTGTGATTTGGAATGAGTCTGCCCAAAATGTTGGAATTTCCCACAGAACAGATGTTCAGCCTGTTGATTTGTGCTTCATCAGCAAATACTTGAATTTCCAAGACTGTATGTCCCTTCTGAGCTGGAAAGTGGCAGGAGCCAGGGGAACCATCCCAAATCAGGGCTTTTCTCACCAGATGTGTAGCTGTGTCTATGCCAGAGGCTCCTGCAGCCTCCTTTGGTGGGAAGGCTGAGCTTCCCTTGGTAGCATCCTGATTAAATAAGGCCTAAGCACACTGGGCCTAAATTGATCCCTGCATTGATATTTGCAGGGATTTTAAATGGGTGGTGGGGAGGAAGATACAGGTGACTGGTGCCCCGTGCTATTTTTCCCCCCTGTGCCTGCTGTTAGTGAATTATCTTGCCAGAAAAAAAGCTGAGGTGGGTGGTAAGGACTGGTAGTGTCTGGCTCTTACCTTCTGCCTGCCTGGCACCTCATGTCCTCCTAGAGCTAAAAAGCAAGGACCAGGCATAGCATGCAGGGAGACTTTAGGGCCAAAATGCTGTGGGGTGGCTGGGGACAGAGATTTAGGCTCTTCTCAATGCAGAAATGTGACATAACACATGGCCCAGCCTGGTCTTGTCACCCTTCTCCTCTTCCAGTTGTCTGTGGCAGGGGTAGCCAGATACACATTTCTGCATAAAGATGACATTTCAGGTATTTCCCTCCTGCTTGGCTGAGCTCCCTCTGCATGGGATTTCTGCTGGGAGTTCCTGTCTCTCATGTCCCTGTGCAGAAACCCCTGCTTCTTGGTGGCACTCACATAGTTCACCTGCCCTCTGCATCCTGGGGCACCCTCCACCAGCTGAGAATTGCCATTCACATGCTGAGGGGGTTGGCTTTCAACCCAGCATCTCCTTCCTTCAGTGCTGGAGGGAGCTGCCCGAGGCTCTGCAATGCTGGTGCCCGTTGAGTGGAGAGATCCAGAGGTCAGATTTGACTGGCACAACGGCATCTTGCCCTGGTTTTCTGCATGCTGGGATTGAAGTTAGCCTCCACTGATGGCTTTGGGGGCCCCCACTGGCCATTTGTGCCTGTCTGGCACAGAGCTGAGCCTCTGCTGGGCTGAATCCCCCCCGTGCCAACAGGAGGTGTCGGGATGGGGAGACGTCACGACAAGCTGTATTTATACAGGCTGTTGCTTGGCAGTGCTGCTCCAAGGTGCATCAACATAATGACATACATAAAAGGGGAAGGCAGTTAAATGTGCAATAACATCACAATAAAAGTAAAACTGAGCATTAATGAAAAATCTGAGCGCACTAAGTGTAGTACAGTCGAACGTTCCCACCACCTTGGGCCGCGGTGCTCAAACTTAATAATAATTTCTGGCAGTGTCATTACCAGAATTAAATGAGGGCCTAACTGTCTAGAAAAATATGTTTGGGGGGAAAAAAAAAACAGGTCTCGAGAGTCTGCAGGTGGCTCTGCTGCATGGATTTCCCCAAGGTAGCACAGGTACCAGGGAACTGGGAACTGCTGCGAGGGGCAGGTGGTGACTGAGACTATAGGGTGAGGTGCAGGAAGGAAAGATTGGAAGAAGAGCCAGTGTGGTCATTTTGGGAGTGGAGCTATGCACCTGGGGAGCTGCTGGATCTGCTGTGAAGGTGGGGTGAGGGTTTGTTTGTGTATTTACAGGCTTGGTTCTGACCTCATGATGTGACTTCCCCAGGGCCAGCAGTGCTCCAGGGGATGCTGCTGCCATTTGTCCCTGGGGTGGTTCTCTGGGATTTCAAACACAGGCCTCCAGAAATACTGCTGGCTAACATGAATGAACTGATGTGAAAAACTGAACTAACAGGATTGCTTTTCCCTAGTAAATAAAATCTCTTTTCTCTCCTCTCCTTCCCCTCTGTGCCTTCCCTGGCAGGTTTTGGAGGCTCACTGGCACCATGGCGCTGAGGCTCCCAGGGGCGGGGTCCTTCTCTCTCGTTGGAGTCCTAGTCCTGGTTCTGGCTCTCCCTGCTGATGCTGGGTAAGGTGGTGAGTGCTGAGGCTGTTGGCCAAGGCTGCAGTCCTCTTGCTGATCTTAAATATGCCGGGGTCAGGACCTGCATGGAGTAGTCCAGGGCAAAGCACTAAAAAGCGTCTCTGCTGTGTTTGACCCTCCCCTTGTCCCTGTCCCTGAGCTTTTCACCCGGGGACTGTTCAGTCCCTCGTGGCTGACATTAGCACTATTTGAGGCACTCTCACTGAGGACAGTTGTCAGCATTTTTTGCAACAAAACCTATTTTCAGATTTGGCCTCTGCACAATTCAGTCTGGGCAGGGACTTGGCTTGCATGAGTTTTAACACGGAAGAGAGATTCTCCCCCCTCCCCAGTTTCATTTTTTAACACTATTTAAAAGAAGAGAAAACTAATCTGCTTCAGCTGTTTGGTTGCTTGGGGTGTAATGACCCATGGGCAGCACACCTGATCCACTGGAGCACTGGGGTTCTCTGCCAGCTCTCCTGGGTTTGCTGCTCTCCCTCTGCCCAGGTTAGTGTTCCGGGATGTGCAGGCTCCAGCTGTCCTGGCACAGGGAATGCTGTTGCCAGCCTCACCTTCCCAGCCTCTGGGAGCTGACAGGAGACAAATCCTGTTAGTCTGTGACAGGCTCTGCAGCCCTCCTCTGCATCCCACCAGAGCCTTTGCTTCGTGAGCTTGGGGAAGCCTTTGAGAAAGGGAGGCAGAGATGCCACCAGCCATGGGGAGGGAGGAGCTCTGCACAGAGGGAGAGAAGTGCAAATAATACATGACTGCTATAAAACATTTAGAAAAGCCTTTAGAGTGCCAGGTATGGACACTGAAGTGATGTTTGCTGAGTTACAAGTCCAGCAGTGATCAAGGATCTTCATGCATGAGATGTCACTGCTGCTGCTCCTCCAGCATCCACACACCCCTCCCACCCTGTCCTGCCTGTTTTGCTTTGCCTGCTTGGATCTGACTTCCCAGAGGCATCCTGAGCGTGCCTTGCCCTGTAAATGCTGACCCTGCCCTGCCTGCAGAGGCACAGACAGCCCTGGGCACCTCCTGCCCCCTGTCCAGCTACTGGGGCTGGGGCTCCCTCCCCATGATGGTTGGGGGGTGTCAGCAGCCCCTGTGCCTCCAGCCCTGCCTCTGCCTTCCTCACTGCTGCTCTTTTCCTTCCCATCACATACTCACTGAAGCCACTGCCATGCTCCCTCACCACCTGCCCCAAGGGGATTGCTCAGAATATTGGTCCACAGGAGGATTTGTTTCCTAAACTGTGTGTGAGGGGACCCTTGTGCAGAGGTTGCTGTGCTGATGTGGCACAGCTCCCCAAAGAGCACGTGCACAGGTGGCAAGGTAATGACTTTTCCTCAAGCCTGTCTTAATTAAATTTGCTGTAAACCTCTGTCCTCCCTGCCTAAAGGCTTTTAATTATTTTAAAACCTTGATCCCCATCCCTCTTTGCAGTTCCTTTATGCCTTGCTAAAGGGCAGCCTTAGCTTTACATTAAGGCCAGTTGAGCCTGCCCAGACCTTGGCTGGAGCGGGGAATTAGCCCAGATCAGGTGCCAGGCAGAGATGCTGCTGCCTCTCCCCTGCCTGCACCTTCCCTCACTCTGCCTGCACCTTCCCTCACTCTGCCTGCACCTTCCCTCACCCTGCCTGCACTGCTCTTTCCCCAGCATCTCCCAAGTGAATCCCACACTGCTCACGTTGAAGTCAAACCCTCAAATGTCAGGCTAAGTAAAACAGCTTTGAAATTTGTAAACTCATTTTTCCCATCACCGCGGAGCCTCCACCAGGAGTTCCTTCACAAAAATCGGTCTTCTCGCTCTTTATATTATGGGTAATTTTTAAAGATAGCCTATAAAACATTAATGAATGAGCTTTCATGAGCATGCTAGCTGTTCATAACTTATAGATGGTTATATACTCATCAGCAGACACTGGTACAGATTACTTTTAACCATGACATCTATTGAAAGCTGGTACAATTGGAACCCCACTAATTACAGTAGTCATTTTTTAAATTTCTCAAAATTCTGCTTACCTGCAGGGAGTTCCAAGTCCAGATGAAAAGCCAAAGTCAGTGCTTTGATTCAAATGGAAATGGGAAGTCTCGAAGGTTGTGGTGCAGTTTGTGCCATCGGGGTGGTTTGATGTTTTGGACCTGACAGGGTGCATTAGGGCAGGGCCAAGTGTTATCCCGACCATGCCTCACCCCCACATCCTCTGGGAACTGCAGTTTAAGCACTGATACCCTCTTTGGGCTCCTGTAGGCTGAGCTTCCTGGCTTGACCATTTCTCCCAGGATAGCAGCTCTTGCTTTGCTAAAAACAGAGGCTGGGTGGTCTTGTGAGAGGTGGGACCCAGCCCCTGGGGAAGTGAACCCCAAACACTTGAAATGCAGTTTCCCTGAGTGTTTGGTCATTGAAGGCAACAAAAATTAGTGTGAGAATTGCCCCAAATGGAATATTTCAATTAACTGCAGCATACTAAATAGTATTGGTTCAACCTGGCTCTAAAAATACCCATATCCTACTCTCAATTCTTCCTGTTTTGCTAGAAAATACCTTTTGCTCTTTTATGTTACAATCTGGGTTTTCTGTTGGGTGAACACTTTGACAGAAAACTCCAAGCCAGCTCTGCTACTTACCACCCACTCTACTGATCCTACACAGTGTATTTACAAATGGACCAGCAGTGTCAAGGGTAACTAGTCCAACCAGATGGGATACAGCAGGACTGAGCTTTGAGCTCCTTAAATTATATTCCTTTTTCTGTTGGTTTTTTTTCCCCCAATTACTTCCTCATGCATGCTTAAACCAGTGGCTGCAAAGAGCAACTGGAACAAAAGGAAATAAGGCTGAGGTGGAGAAGGAAAGGGGCAAACCCCTTAGAAAGCAACTATTTAGGGGCTTCTCTTCCCCCAGCTGTGGGGAGCAGGGCACTGCTCCCTCCACTCCAGCAGCCTTTTCTCCCCTGCCTGGCTGGGCATCCTCAGCCATCCTGCTGCCTCTCTGTGCCTCTTAATCTTTTTTTGGCCTCAGTGGTCTCTCTCTTATTTCCTCTTCCATCTTCCTTGCAATCTCTTCATTTTTATAGATTTTTTTTTTCTTTTGGTTTTCTGTTACTTAATCTTCTGCCTTTCCATTTGTTTGGTCCTAACAGCTATTTCTGCTGGGGAAAGCTGTACTTGAATCCACAGCACTGGTACTCTGTGTTGTCTGAAATCTCTTTTAAAGGCAGGTGGTTTCAGAAGGATTCACAGGCTCTTTTTCTGTTGATTGAAAGGCAGACACAAAACGCAAATGTATTATTTGAGCCCCTTGTGTTTGCAAAACTGCATTGAAGATTTTGTTCAGCAAGATGAGCTTTGTTTGGGAAATTTACTACTTGTTTTATTCCACCTGGGGCAGAATATGTTCTGAGGAAATCATCTTGTTTGGGGACTTCCAGGCTTCTTGTGTTGAGCAGATCTGGGAACGTGAAAAATCATTTGTTTTTATAAATAGGGAAAGTTCAAGAAACTGCAGAAAAGGTTCGTGAGGTGTTTTAATGATGGACTCAGGCTTCAAGCCTGCCTGACGGAATTCCTACTTTTCTGCCTCCCTTCCCTTTTCCCGGGGGCAGAAAACACTGAAATGGCAAATAACTGGCATCACTCCTTCCGTGCTGCCTGCAGGGAGATACTGGCACTTGAATAACTGCGGTGCCCCCAGCCTCTGTTCATCAAATGGCCATGCCTGGGGCAGGGATGGATGCTGGGGCGGGGGAAGGCTCCCTGTTAAAACGGGGCTCCTGAACCACTGTCCATGGTGCTGCTGGCCCTGAGCATGGAAAGGTGGGCAGGGAGCAGCGCGGGTGCCTCAGTGCTGAAGTGTTGATTAGAGATGCCCTGTGGGGCGTCCTGGAAGCACATCACTCTGCCAACAAGTGTGCCCCGTCCTGCAGTTCAGGCTGGAGCAGGAACCAGCATCCCTTCGTTCCCTGGAACTGTTCAGAGCACATCCTCTGAAGGTAGGTTTCTCTTCTGATGATGTCTTTTCCTTTTTTTTTTTCCCCTCCCCCTTGCCAGGCTCTCTCAGAAGCACGTTTCAGACGTCGTTGATGACAGCAAAGATAACATCACCATTTTCACCCGCATCCTGGACAGGCTGTTGGATGGCTACGACAACCGCCTGAGACCTGGACTTGGAGGTCAGTTGGGTGGAGAGATGATGCTTCCCACAGCTGTGCAGCTCTAGAAAGGAGAGGCAGTGCAGATGACTTATTGAAAAGTCTGGTGCTGTCAGGAGGAGAGGCTGGTTCAGTGCCAGAGTCAGTCTGTGGCTGGTTTCCCTCTTTTGAGTCGGTGCTATTTTGTTGGGTTTTATCTTGTGGGATGGGAAGTGCCAGTCTCTGAGTGCTGGGGTCACCTGTGACATTGCAGTGACAGGCCTGTAGATGGAGCAGCTATGAATAAACTTATTGCTACTATTTTCTAGGCATTAGCATTTCAGAAATGCTGATACATTCAGGAATTAAAGAAAGGCATTGAGGTGCTGGAGCTGGTCCAGAGGAAGGGCAATTTCTTCACATAAAGGGTTGTAAAGCACCAGAACAGGCTGCCCAGGAAAATGGTAGAGCCACCATCCCTGCAAGTGTTCAAAAACATCTGGATGTGGCACTTGAGGACATGGTGGTGCTGGGTTGGCAGTTGGACTTGATTCTCCTAAAGGTCTTTTCCAGTGTGAGTGATTCTATGATTCCATACCACCAGTTTGCAGGACCTCCAGCTCGTGTTGGTTTTGCTTTCCAGTCAGTTTGCTTTGCTACAGAGCCTCTATCTTGACACCTGCTCAGTTATTTTTTTATTGTAGCTGTCACCTGGCAAGCTCTTCCCTGTGTGCTGCTCTGGAGATCAGGCAGTCACCCGGGCTTTGCTGCCTCCTGAGCTGCATTTAACACTGCTGCTATCACTGCTGCTGCTGCTGAGGTTCTCTCCAAGCACCTGCAGTTGTTTAAGGGGCTTCAGAAAGCAAAATAATAGTAGCCACCTTCCCACCTAATGCTTATGCCTTCAGTTAGTGTGATATAAGGAGGCAGAAAAAATGGGGAGATGTGTGAGGAAGACAGATGTGAGCTGGGCTGAGGGAGATGTAGACCTGGGTGGTTTATTGGTGTGTTGCTGTGGCAGAGTTGACCCCTCTCAGATGCTGACAGCTCTGTGTCACTGGGGCCTCTGAGGAGATGTCCCTGCCCTGCTCTGAGCTCTCCTGTTTGGCTGCAAAGGTGTGCTGCTGGACTACAATTTCCACCCAAAGCTGGAGTCACCATGTGCTCTCCTGTTTTCCGAAGGTCCCACTGCCAAGGGAGGTTGGGAACAAGCTTTCCTGGGCTCTTGCATGCTAATGGGGGCTCTGGTGTTATAATGCTAGCCTGGAATTGCACTCTCCCTTGCTCAGAGCAGCTTTGTTGTCCCTTCCCAGCCCCATGCTCACCTCTGTGCCACAGCCCTCTGCCCTGCACCTGTCCAGGAGTACTTTGATCCCAAGCAGAGACCATGCAAAGCCTGGGGAAGAAGGGCTTCTGCAGTGAGCATCCTCATCTCTGATGCTCTGCCACACTGCAGGACCCAGGCAGGAAAGAGTTACTGTGTCTGCATAAGCAATCCATCAGTTTTATTGCTTTTGTTGCTTGTTTCTTTCCCCCAGAATTAACTGTGGTCCCACTAATAGCTTTGCTTCCTCAAGTTTCCCCGATGGCTGTATTGATTTAACTGAAATGAGTTCTGAAAGGGGACTGAGGGGGCATTTATGTTCACCGTAGGCTCAATTGCAGACAAACCCATGCAAAGCATTAACAAGAGGACTCCCAGGAGCCCCTTGCTGGGAAAGTTAAAACCTTTCTTGGAACATCTTTCCTCTGTTGCTTTAGATCCTTTAACAACGTGCTTAACATAATAAATTGCCTTTGCCTGAACCAGCCACCGTATGTTTAAAGACTGCTTTCACCTCTGGTTTCCCCTGGCAGAGCAGTCCTGTGGGCCCAGATGGGAGGTTTTGACAAGGGCTAGAGGTTTTGGGAGCTGTTGGCTGGCAATGAGTTGTGTTTGCATACAGGGCAGCCTGGTGAGCCAGGCTCTCCCCACTTTTAGCTGGACCTGTTTTCCCCAAGGCCAAACTTTTGGAGATCTCTCAGGAACAGAAGGACCTTCCCCACTGCTGCTGGTGGCCAGAGAAGCAGAAATGGTCCTGCTGCAGCCTCCACACCTGGGGGCTAATGGAAGAGCCTGGGGAGATAATCAGCAAGAGGTGGGCTCCTGCTGTCCAAGGCTGTGTGAGATCTGGGAGAGGGATTGCTTTGCTCCAAATTAGCAGCTGTGCTGCTCGGTGACTGACAAGGTACATTGGCTTTCCTGTGAGACAGCACTGGGCAGTCCCTGCAGACAGACCCAGCACTGGCTCTCCCCATTTCCCTCAGGAATATCTTCCACTTGCTTTTCTGAAGATGTCAGGTAATGGCATCCATTAGTAGCACTAAAGTCCTGCTTTGGTGCCCGTGGACAGGGCAGCTGTGGTGTCGCTGTGTCCACACACGGGCTGATGGAGAGATGAACTGGCCAAAGCAGGACATGCAACATCCCTCCTTGGCTGGTTTCCCTGCTCTGCATGAGACAGATCCCCCTGCAAAGGGCTGGGACAGGCAGGGCTGGGAGTGCTGCAGCCCCTCTCAGGGCTGTGTGCTCAGTGCCTGTCCCCCACGCTTCCCGTGCGCCAGGAACAGAGCAATGTTTGTTTAGACTTCGGGAAAAGACACTGTGTAAGCAACAGAGTGTTAATGTGGTGACTTCTCCCCTCAAGATAGCCTCTTTGTATTTATTTTCTTATCCCCTCTGTTTTCACCATCTGCTGCCACCCACTCTGATAGCTCCCATGCCAGAGCTCCTCTTCCTACCAGGATGCTGCAGACACAGATTAAAGCAAACCAGTGCTGAGGCTGCCTGGGACTTCCTGGTGCTGCAGAGCCAGGTCCAGGTGAGGGTAATCCTGGGCCCTGCTGCTGCTCCTGCCTCCAGGGGCTGGCTCAGGGCATCCTCTCTAGCTCAGAGTCCTTGCTGTCTTGAGGCAAGTGGAGGTTTATGAGCATAGTCCAGGCTGGCTTAGAAGAGGAAAGGAGGGGGTCAGGGGAAAGAAAGTGATTGTCAGACCCCTCTTTTTGCAACAGCACCCTGTAGCACTGGGGACACAATCACTGGTGTCCCAGAGAAGTCTTCTGTGGCTGGTAGAAGGTTTCTCTCTGTCTCTGCCAGCTGAGCCAGGGCTGGATTCCTCTTAGGAGCAGAGCTGAGCCTTTCCTTTGGCCTCATGACCACTGAAAGACAGTCTGGGCTTGGGGAAGGGGTAGCTACATAAAGGGTTGATGTTATAGGACTCAGAGTGGGGGAGGAGAGGAAGGAACTATCAGCAGACAACCTGTGTTTCCCCTGGGAAAACACGGGGCAGATTGGTTATTAAGTCAGAAGAGGAACAGAAGTGGACCCTGAGGGGATGCAGACATCTGTTGCCATGGCCAACCTTGTAGGATAAGAAAATGTCCCATGGAGAGAGCTTCTGTGGACAGCACTGGCCTCTGCTCCTGCTCTGGAGCTGTGCAGGCACACAGCTCCCAGCCCCGAGGGGCTGCAGTGGGAAGCATCTATTTACAGCTCTCAGGTTCTTCTTGCTGGGGCTCCTGCAGAGCTGGCACACAGGGAGCTGTGCACCTGGAGCTTGCAAGAGTAGGAGAGGGCAGATGTGGCCAGGAAAAAGAGGTAGAACTGGCTGACAAAGGGAGAGACATCCTACACCCCAAAGGAAGAGGTGTTCGAGGAGTGGGATGTAAGTGGTGAGACCATGAGTGATCCTCCAAGACTGGCTGATGAACTAAAATACCCTGTGTGTCCTGGTGCTGCGAGGAGTGATGGAAGTTCTGCAGTCCTTACACAACCAGTGTGATGTCCAGCACAGTGAACACGAGGGGGGATGTGGTGGTTGAGGGTTTGAGGGTCAGTGATGCTCCCTGTGCAGCTGTGCCTCCTGTACCTTATTTCCTAACTGATGAAATTTGGGCCCATTGTGCTGCAACTGAAACAGAGATCTGTGAACTTCTGGGAAGGGACAGGAAGGGACATTTCCAGGCTTTTCCTTCCTTACAGTCTCAAGAATCCTTTTAATATTTGGCAATTGAAAGTTAACAGGGAGCTTGGGGAGGTGTGCGGGACCTTTCCACAGCTGTTTGAAAATCAGGGTAGGGTTTTCTTCCAGCTCAGCCAGAGACTGCCTGCTTCAGAGGGCTGGGGATTCACCTGAGGTACACTTGGTGTAAGGATGAGGAAGCCAGAGGACATCTGGAGCAGTGGTGGACAAAGTCTCTGCACTGGGTGATCAGGAAACCTGCACTCCAGAAAACTGTTGGCCTTTTCCATGTGCTGCCAGGAGGAAAAGGTTTTACCCCAAGGAAGAGGAGGCTAGAGTAGGCTGCTCAGTTTTCTAGAGGATGAGCTGTAAACTTCCTAGATAAGCCGATTTCTCCGACTGCAATTAAAAAGTAATTTGTACCGTGTTAAGCAGGTGGGCTGAGATCGATCTGTGTTATCCCTCCTGGATGCAGTGTTGCTTACAAGGCTCCTCTTCCTCTCCTCCACTGCACTGCTCTTTGTGGCTTGGTGTCAGCATCTCCCTGCCCACACTGGGCTCAGTACAGACAGCCTTGGGGTCGAGCAGGATCTGGTGCAGTCAGGGTCTGCTGCTCACAAAAGGACTCAGCTCAGGGTTGCCTGACATGGGCCTATAGTGCCTTTTATCTGGCCTCACTATGTCAGCTCTGTCTTGCTGATGGTTTTGATCTATAGCCACCTGTTAATATTTATCCTGCTGTCATATTCCCTTTATTCTTCTGTAAGTGAAGAGCACCTCGGTTGAAGCTGTTCTTGTCTCTCCTTTCTGCGGTGCAGTGTTTCTTCCTGCTTTTTTTAATGATGGTGTAGTTTGGCAGGATGGCTTCTGAGCAAGTAAGAAACATCTGTATCCCTGTCTTGCCACCTCTATCTCACCAGTTCAAGTGCTGATGAGCCAGAAGTTTTGGACTTTGGTTCAGAGAGGCTCCCTTTAGGTTGAGACTTTCTGGGGCAATGCCTGCTGTGTTGCACCTCAGTGCATGTGTCACTGTGTCCTGAG